TTGTCTGGAGTGACATTTCCTATCCCGGGGAGATTGATGCGCTACTCGCAGGCACGGAGAGTTAGAACAGTTTGTCCTCCGATGATGACTATGATTGATGATTTGGATGTGGAAATTGAAGACACCAGTGAATTTTGAAAAGGAAAGTGCAAGGTTTGTAATCAGAATGTACATGTTTTTTAATGCAATGCATAACATGACCTCAATTTAATGGGGCAACAGTATTGCTTTTTATCAAAAAGAGCAGAAATCACTAGCTTTCTTGCTTGTTTAAGTAGGATCTTCCCAATAGTTCCACTAAATCAAGGATATGTGTATCAAACAGAGGCTAGAGGTTCCAATATATCTGCGCATATAACTTCGATTTTTGAAATTGGCGCACCGAAATTGAACAAAATCACCAACTTCCTTGGCTATCTAATGCACATATGTAGGCACCAAAACGAGGCTGTACGCACCAAAACGAGGCTGAAAGCCTCGGTAGTTTGCTGTGTAACGTCAAATTTTGAAATCAGCGCACCGAAATTGACCAAGATCACCAACCACTTTGCCTATCTAAGCTAACTAGTGATTTCCATCTATTTGCACCAAAACGAGGCTGCATTCACCAAAACGATGCTGAAGGCCCCGGTATTTGCCCGTGTAACATCGATTTTTGAAATCCGCGCACCGAAATTGACCAAAATCACTGGTTTCCCTAACTAACTAAGACAACTAACGTGTTCCCGATGTATGCCCTAAAACGAGGCTATATGCATCAAAACGAGGCTGAAGGCCCCGGTATTGGCCCGTATAACATCGATTTTTGAAATCAGCGCCCCAAAATTGACCAAAGTCACATATTCTCATAAATTCCCTGCTCGGGTTACGATACCCCCCTTTCTCCTCCTGGACTAAATGGACCATTTGCATTATAGACTAAATTTTGATCTACAGTAGACAAAAATTTCATCACAGCTTGAAAGAGCATCACAAAATTAGTAATATATTATATGTCTATAGCATTAACTGACTTCCAGTATTTGCATACATATTTGCCCATTGTGCAAAGTTGATGTGAATATGCTATTAAATTTGCTACTATTCATCAGTATATTGATGTACCATAATATCATATATATATATATATATATATATATATATATATATATATATATATATATATATATATATATATATATATATATATATATATATATATATTTAAAAAACTCATTAGTAATTCAGGAGCAAAACACAAAGAAAAATCATAAGCGTGTCGTGGTTATATATGTGATATAAAATCATGTTAATTTACATAAACTTTAGCTTTGATTTTCTCGGTTTAGACAAAGTTTATTTTAAAAATTATTTCGCCAATGAACTCGTATAAGATGAATCGTTTTTGAAGCCATTTAAAGCACTTGTAGTCGTGTTTTATCACATATAAAACACTCCGCTACACGTCGTGTTTTATATGTGATAAAACACTCCTACGCGTGCTTTAAATAGTACATATATATATATATATATATATATATATATATATATATATATATATATATATATATATATATATATATATATATATATATATATATATATATATATATATATGTACTTTGTATTTAAAAAACTCATTAATAATTCATGAAGAAAACACAAAGAAAAATCATAAGCGTGTCGATATATATATACAGGGTGTATCAAAAAAAGCGCAATCCTCGACTGAAATGTAAATTGCTAAACAAATAATAGACGAAAACGTTAAAGTTTACATTCATTTTAAAGCGTAGCCATTCAGCTGTCTAACAGTGGGTTGTTTCTTAAATTTGACTCATTGGTTCGCGGCTAATAATACTTTACGTTATTGCGATTGGAGATTAAAAAAATTGAGATGGAATAACAAATCGTTCTCATGAAAATAACTGATTTTTTCATTAAAACAAAAAAATGTTGCATTTTATTAAATGGATTGTAACAATAAGTATAATTACGGCTTTTTTCCACTATTTTTAACTCAGTTTGAAACTTCAAATGCGATATAATTTTGGCTTGGACCATCTAAGCTGACTGACATCAACTTGCTATAATTTCTGTTTACATTACATCGCAATTCGATGACACTCTGGCTCAGACACCAGAATGTTTTGACGATTTTTAGCATTCGTTTAGGATTTTCAAACAATCTGGTCTCTTTTCAAATACTTTTAATTTGTTCTTACTTGGTTTTCCAGATGTAGTGACGACAACATTAAAGTTTAAAGAAGAAAATTCTAATATTTAAACCGACTAAACAATAACATAGTAAACTTGCATAATTAAACAGCAACTAAAAATGATAGGTTTTACTAAATCTTTTCCTGTGCAATTATTACTAGCATTGGAGACAAGGATAATAGTTTGTTTGAAAAAGAAAAGAACAGGCTTTGAAGTAAGCCTAAAAGCGTTTAACTAGAAATAGTATTTCGAAAGTTATTAAGCACAAAATATGAATTGCGTTTATTTTGATACACCCTGTATATATATATATATATATATATATATATATATATATATATATATATATATATATATATATATATATATATATATATATATATTGTAATAAGTTGTGTAATTGTACACTCCGTAATATGTTAAGATGAAAATGTGTGTATTATATAATGAGTGTGTATTATATAATTTCCATACCCAGCGCAAGCGGAAAGATGTTTTTTTCTGTGTTGGTGTTGTGTACTCAGGTGAATAATATGTTTGCGATGTTACTCTGAGTGCATATCCACACCGGGCGAGCTTGAAAAATATGCCCGGCCACGGTGGGATTCGAACCTACGACCTTTGGAATACTAGCCCAATGCTCTTCCAAATGAGCTACGCGGTCAGGACGGTTCGAGTAAGTGATATTTCGGAACAGTATCTAGTTCCTTCAATACCAATGTGTTCTAGTAATATGAATTTTTCTGTGTTGGTCTTGTGTACTCAGGTGAATAATATGTTTGCGATGTTACTCTGAGTGCATATCCACACCGGGCGAGCTTGAAAAATTTGCCCGGCCACGGTGGGATTCGAACCTACGACCTTTGGAATACTAGTCCAGAATACTAGACCTTTGGAATACTAGTCGTGGCCGGGCAAATTTTTCAAGCTCGCCCGGTGTGGATATGCACTCAGAGTAACATCGCAAACATAGTATCGAAATAATATGGATATACTATGGATTTAGAGGTGCAATTGTAAGTTTCAAAGTATGGATTTCACATTTTCCCCCCAGTGATATGGCTTGGTGTTGTATATAGTGTGCGATGGTATGGTATTGCATACGATACGATATGATATGAAGAAGAGTTAAGAATTTAATATGTAAAAAATTAACAAGATATTTTATATTTTCTTAAAGTGACAACGACCAGCCACGTCAAGACAATGCTTCGGTTGTAGTTTATATCGTCAATCCATTTGATGAGAGCAGCGATCAAGTTCTGAGGAGAGAGTCGTATTATGCTTTGCTTCGAGGTTTTTCTGAAATGGCATCAGGGTTACCCGAGAAAATTCGGAGTCGTCTCGTTTTAGAGGTAGGGTTAATTATCAAGACTTCGTAATCCATTATGTCATGTAAAGAAAGTGTCATTGCGATAAAAAATTGCCAAATGCAATTTGATTTAAAGTTGGTTGATTGAAATCGCATTTAGGATTTAAGTGTGGTTCCAATTTTTGAACATTTGTCGAAATGTTTGTTGCCCATTTGGGAAACGTATGGCATTGCTAGTTCAGTCTGCAAACATCCAGTTCTGTAAAATATTTTAACCACTCAATTTATCGATGCAAAATTGCGAGTGGAATGTACCTTCAGTTGATGTTTACACATGCGTTGCGGGCAATCTTTATTCAAGCAACTTAAATTTGAATCCCAAATGAGAAAATTTCGATACTCAGACAAAAGTTTTACATGCAATTCCCAATGGTGGAAAAATTCGACTTCGAGAGGCATTTTTAAATTGGTTCGTATTTGGCTATTTTAGATCGCAATGATACCAGAAAGGTAGTATTCGACAGCTAAAAGCCAGATCTTTATTGGTATGAAAAAAGTAAATGGATAAACGTAATATATAATTTACGATTACATGCCAAAGTTTGATATGATCGGTATAATGGTATTGTAGGTGGAAATTGTCGAGTGGAAATTTATATACATTTATTAGACTTGACCAGGAATAGAAGCGAAAAATGCAACTTAAGTCCCTGACAGGAATTGAACCTGCGATTCCGGTGCAGTGCTATAACCAACTGAGCTACAGAGGCCAGTTGTCGAGCTCTAACCACAAGTTCATGTATATATACTAGGCTACTGCCATGTGTAGGTCATGGGTAAATATCAAGATTTTTTGTGGCATCTTACACACGTAAAAACGCACAAGTTGTAACAAACCTGCAGCAGACTTGTAGCAATGCTGTTCCAACAACTTGTCAACAGGATGCGTTCGCACTGCTTGTTCCCAGCTTGTTGAC